AACACTGGGGAAAAAGTCATGCAGGAGAGGGTATGGAGACAGGGGGCGTGTCCAAGGGGTGCAGGTGTCCAGGGGGAGTGAATCCGGGGTGAACAATCTATGAGAAAATCCAAACGGGTAATCCAAGACAGAAGGTAGTGTCCAATGCCAGAAGATCCATCCGAGGGAATCAAAACCATGAACCGGGTCGGGACCGGCGGGGAGGGACCAGGAACAGAAGGTTAAAACCATGACAGAGCCAGACGCAGCAGGACCCGGGCTCTCACGAAACGGGATTCAATGAGGAGCCTTGGGTGACCTTTGTGTCTGGCTTTTAAGGGGGAGCTGAAACAAGGCACAGTTGTGGGCAATGGGAGAGAACGAGGAAGGGCTGGAGCGCCCTTAAGAGGAGGAGTAGCGATCGTAACAGAATTGCCTTGTGCCAGCTGGCAAAATTTCCCTGAAGCCAGATATAGGGGCGCCCATGTCTGGTCATCGCCAGTCTTACAGTCGTAAGAACTGTTTCATGAGAAACAGCAGCAAAACAAGCTGACGAGAGGCTGTGTAAAGTTCTGTATGCTGATGACGTTAGAAAGGTGCATCTTTGAGGCCAGGTGTTTCTGAGGCTCAGGACTGACCGCAAAAACAAGTTAAGTACAGCTCCGAACAAAGCAAGGAGATCAATTCGTTCTTCAATTAGCAGTAGAAATTTAGAGTTCATCTGGAATAAAATCCAGCAAAAACAGTGCTACTCCAAAACCAGGACTGGGTACCACTGCTACATTCAATATATAGAATTAGGTGACAAATATAAACTGATATTCAAAACATTCAAAAGTCATTTTTTTCATCTATATGTTCTGGATGGAACATCATTTCATCCTTTGTTAACAAGTCCCTGACAATGAATTAGAAGGCTGCACATGGGCTGGAGTTAGATACTGTTCCCCTAGGTAAATGATGAATAAAGGATATTGACACCATGAACTCAACAACAAGCATTCTGACTAGGTAGCCTAGCTTAGGAGACATATTGCTTATGGAGTATAGTTATGATATTTTAAAACATACCGATCTTAAAACAACTGTTGGATCAACTCTGATATCAAGTGGCATTTGGCATTGACATGATCTACACACCCATCCAACTCATTGTGCAGGATCTAGGTCGGGGCATTGAAGCAGTAAGCATAACACTGATCACTGATCTACACAGAAAGCTTTAAGTGCATTTAGACATGTGACAATGTCAATAGACAACAACATTTAGAGATGAAAGGATTATACTGTACCTACAGTTAATGTGTAATAAATCGCCACACCTTGCCAAAATTGACCAAGCTTTCATCTATGTCAATATACAAACTTCACTGCTGTATCACAACTAGAGTGAGTCAGGATGTTTCCCATACGGGTACTCAATGACTGTGATTCCTGTGGCTTGTGGGTATTCCTTGACACCCAATGGAAGAGGCAGCCACAGCAATCCCTTAAGCTGTCCTTCTCAATCTGAAAGTCTCCTCATTGGGTCGACACACAAGACTGACCATGACTGGATTGATCACAGGTGCGTCCTGTCAGTCGACAGTGCAGCTCAAGTCTAGTGATGGCAATTCGATGGAACCCGAACACTCTAAATGTCTTTGAACTGCCTTGTGCCAGCTGGCCAGATAAGCCAAGTACATTCCCTCAAGTACAAGCCAAGTTCCCCTGAGCCCAGGTATAGGGGCGTTGATCACAACTGGCAGACCTGCACGCTGTCAGTACAAGCGCACTTTACCTGTGCGTTGGCCCTCTCACCTGCACACATTTCTCAATGTGTAGAGAGTCAGAATCAGGAGGAAATATGGAAAGATGATATGCAGAGGTAGGCTTGTGGATTTTCATTTTCATTTCCTGCTGGCAGGAAAGTCGGATTTAGTGGTGAGCATTGTGGGTGAATATTCAATGCATATTTGTATTTATTTTAATATATTAAGGTTGCATATGGATGTACCACTTACAGTACAGTACATACTTTTTTTATATTATATTGCCATTGTCGTCCACATTTCCTCATACGGTATTTTACAACATACTTCCATCCATCAATTTTTAGCAACATTAAATACATATTCTGCACTTTCTACATTCACCAGTTTGATTTTAAAAACATGATATGGTCAAAATATGACTGGGTAAGTAGTCCACAGTGGAGCTTTACCTAAATCCTGATCACTAATCATAGCTGCTGAAGGCAAGCATACTATCATACACTACAAAGCCCTGACTGTACACCAAGGTGTTCTACCCCCCACCCCCCCCCCCCGCCCCCATGTGTATCTCTGGAACAGTACCAGAAGTAAAGTGTGTTACACTATACAGTAACATGACAGTGACCAATACATAGTAGGTGGATGACTCAAAGTAATAAAGGCATTGCAGGCATTAACCCAAGCCCCTCTAAAAGCATCTACTTCTCGTCCGAACAGCATATGAATTTACCCACACCCCTATTGTTTCACTCTTTCAGATTGTCACTACACAATCTGGCCTCGTGTCAACAGCTCCACATTAGTGTGAGTCAGTGCAAGGTGAATGCCCGAACTGGCTTAGCATCGCCAAGACGTCCACCATTCAAGTGAAGCAAATATACTAAAATAATGCCTGTCCACACTGACGTGCAAGACGATACTCTATGCAAGTGAACTATTAAAAGTCACACATTTTAATGGATGTACTCTGGAGAGTACTTGAATGTTCATTCTTTTTTTTAAGTGCAACTTACAGTTTTAAGTGTATTGTATCTGGCATACCAAAGGACTGCATGATACACCATTACATTGTTACAATTATGATGATCCATCCAACATCGATGGTTAACAAGTTTATTGCCTGAAGGATTTGCCTACTGGCCCTGCCGAAGCACACTGACTCTTGGAGAACAGTGGTATTAAAGGTTGGCTGAAACTCTAGAGACTACAGGTACAGGTTCCCAGCTGTTACTCATACCAGCAGCCTTGTTACCTTTGTGTCTCCTTTAGGTGTCTGAATGAAGATAATCACAATACCATCAATACAGAGAGTTAACACTTGATTCTGGTTGTTGGGTTTGTGATCTTTCATAGTTGCTTTATGACAAAGACAAAAACATATGACCTGTAAAGGCTTAGTGTGCAGTATGTTGTCTGCAATTTCTTTCTGGGTGACCAACTTCATGATAAGCACACCATACAACAGCCTCTGGCTGTAGGAGCTACATTCCAATATTCCTCACTACCTTCAGTTCAATTAGGAGGAAATTCAGCTTCGAACGATGTCATATTCAGGCATTCAGGCAGAGTAATGCTCACTTTCAGGATTATAACAGAAGTGGCTCTGTTCCTGGGGCTTAAGTCGGGCTGTAAAATGCTTGAGGAGTAGATTACAGCAGTCAGTGAAATCCAACAAAATACAGTTAGTCCAATCCTTGCAGTCATGTGCATGACCCAGTGTGACGTCACAAAAGGACCTCTTGAACACAAATGATGTATTAGTCCTGATCTATTAACAATAGCCAATGAGCAAAAGTGCAGGATCAGATCTCAAGGAAGATTCCCCCTGAAAGTGCTCAAATTAAACACTCGTGGTACTTTTTGGAACTTTTAACTCACAGAACCAAAGAGGTTCTAAACGTTTCATCGCCAATTCCTCCTTTAAAATCCCCAGTTGGAAATTCGGATTTTGTTTAAAAAATGAAACAGTGGGTGATTTGCCATCATAAAGTTTGCAGAACGTCCCACTAGGAAGAAGTTCCACGACAGGCCCTTCACTGAATCAGAGCCCAACAGAGAGATAGGCTAGACATTTGTAAGACAGTTTACAAAGCTTTGCACAAGGCTTCAAAATGTACTTCATTTTCAAAGAAAGTTACCTAATAATGGTAACATTAACTTCAACTGATAACACAGCATTATCACTCTCTTTACAGCTATATTTTCACCCTTCTGATATATGTCTCCACATTGTGTAACAATTTCAGAAAATGTGAAACAAACCCTTCCTGTGAAGCAAGAAACTTCGGGATTTCTCATTAGTATACTGACTTACCATTTCAAATTGCACCTGATCTAAGCGTTTAGTTTTGTGCTAAATAATTACAGTTCAAATTCATATTAAAATATTGTGGCTGAGATAAGTAACTCTTGAGACAAGTTATAGTTTTGAAAAAATGTGCCACTGGTACTAGTAATATTACACTGTTAATATTATTCACATCCTCCACTGTACTTGTGCGAAAGAAATGAGAAGTATAGTTTCAGGGTACTTGTTGTCTATCAACAAATACTGTTGTCTGTCATCTTCCTTTCTTATTATTTTATGTGTATCTCATGTATTGCTCCCCTCACCATTTTGTAAGCTTGTATGTTCCGTGTTTAGTTCCTTAACTAGTGTTTCTCGAAATGCATTCATGACACATTACCCTGATGTAGAAAACACAAATTCAAATCTACCGAGAGGTATTTTGTTTCCGGATATCGAGTACGGAAGGCGAGTCTCTGCACTAAGCATACTGTAACTCACACACCCGAATGTTTCAGTGCGTCAGGGAAAAAAATGTACGAAAGATCAAAGAACGTAAACTGTATGAAATCGTCTTCAAGATAACGTTATTAAGGGTATTTCAGTACTTGCCAATCCATCATTGTATGTCAAGAAAGTGGGGACTGTGAATCTGTCCCCCGGTTTAACACATTTCAAGCATCATATCAACCGGATAAAAAGGGTGCGTGAATGAAACGTCACTTTATACTTGAACGAACAGCTTTCGTTCAACATCTGGTGGAAATACGTGAGAGCATTAAATAGGTTTATCGTATTTTTGCATACGTATCTGGGAAGAGAAAATATACCGAAACCGAGAAAGAGAGAGCTCGAAAATAAATGTGGATTTTCGGTCACTCTGATCACTGACGTGTGGTTGGAGCCCAACTGTTATTTTTAGCTCGGCACCTGCCTTACCACGGCTTAAGTGCGCTGTCAGTACAGTTACACCCCTGAAAAAAACCACAGCTCCGCGCAGAGGGCTCGGCGTGCGCTCCGGAGAACAGCCTCGCCGCATTCACTCTGAGTGAGCCCTGCATATTTGCCCGCCTTGATTCAGTATTCTTTATGTGGCCTTAAAATGGTTTCAAATGGCAAAGCACTGTTCGGAAAACTCTGCGTTGCAATTCAGTTTAAATCCTTAGTCCATCAGGACAACGACAAAATAAACATCTAATTGCACTTTTCGCAGGAGATAACTGTCAGATTCTACTTGCCGTTAGAAAAAAGTTCTTAAAATCAGACCTGACTAATTATTCATATCACAAACTCAAAAGCAGTTATTTCATGGAAATTACTGTACTCTATATAAGGTATACGATGGTATATTGTATGGGTTAATCGTAATGTATGCATACCAAGATATGCAAAGTTTCATCACAATAGTTCTGAATTGATTTACCAACTAACTTTGAGACTATATACTGTATATATGTTTCAGATTAAGTTTACACATACCTGAATTCAGGAGCCATATTTGACTTGAGTCCGTAAAACCCAGCCGACAAAGTCAGAAGCCAGCGGGGGATATAATTTCCTTTTTCACACTCCAAGTAAGGGTCTGACCACTTTATTTGAGTTTTATCAACGACGTACGTGTCCCCCTTTCTCGAGAAGGAATCTGCCGGCTTTATTTCTTGTTGCAAAACTCGTCGAAGCAAGCGGGGCTTCTTTCCGTTTTTGAACTCGTTATACCACTGTGTTTCGGCCGTCTTGTTTTTCAGGTGATGGTGAGCCGTCGTCGAAAGGTCCTGCAGGACAATCTCGCCGCCCGTTCTCGTCGCCTGCAGAAAGACCTGGGGACCGGACGACAGAGGCTTGACGTTGAAGGTGACCACGGCTCGATGGATTTGGGGATCGCCTTCCAAAATGCTCCTCACTAACGCGTGGTACCATTCAATGTCGCCTCTCAGGTTTTGCTCTCTTGACCTGTTCGCCTGCAAGATCATGTTGAGGAAGTTGGTGGCGTGCATCACAGTATCAAGCACGCTGTGGAGGGGATAAGGAGAAGCCAGGTACGATGCGTTTCGGAGGATGCCCAGCTCGCTTCGCCGAGAGCAGTTGGCGTGTTTCAGCGTGGAAGAATCCCCAGTATGAAAAAAAGCCTTTACAACCTCTGGAAGATCTTCTACGATTTTCTGTAATACGACGGAGCGCTCGTTTGCTGGTTTCGTCGAAGACGCGTAATACTGTGGTTCCCTGTTAATGTGACTGTTGTAGATAGGCTTCTTGTCCTTAATTGCCGAGTGCCCGGGGTAAGCTGCCCACCCCATAAATCCATGATTTGATCCAATAACAAATCCCGTTTGCAAGAGTAAATAAAACAGGAAAACAGCCATATCGTTGTACCTTGTTGAAGTCACAGTTTATTCCCACCAAAGCTGCTTACGAAGAAGGAAATGCTATTCTTCAGTTAGCGAATTGAGATATATTCACCTGTGGATAAGGGAATGCAGTTCTCTCTCTTTTTAGCTCTTCTTGAAAATACGGCGAGGACAGCGGGTCACATCCTTTTCTCAGAGATGCTATAGTTAGCTCGCTTACGTCTCTCTCCGTTAGTCAATGATTTTCATTAAAAGGTGTTTTTGGAGTCCGTTTAAGAAGCACATCCCCGCTCCTGCTGGAAAAGCCTTGTATTTCGCACGTAGCCCTTCGTATCTATCAATGCTTTAACCCAGGGTGCTAAAATTGAAAAAGCAAAAAAAAACCCATCGGATTACTTATGCGCAGAGAGCCGTACCCCTCTCACACTTCAATAACAAACACACTCCGCCCTCTTCGGCTTACAACAAGCTGTAACTAAACCAGCGGGACGGCAAGAACCAATTGCTCTTAAATCCCGTCTCCTTCATCATCTTATAGGGTTCTTATAGTGTCCTTGACTCGCGAATGGCCATTTCTTCTGTCAATCACTTCACCGGGGGCAGGTTAGGTAGAGAGAAGGAGCTGTCCAGTGCTGAAAAGACCTTCGGGCAGAATGTTGCGAAATAAATACTAGTACTGCAGTTTAAAAACATGGATATCTTTCCAAGCGTGAAGTATCCCAAGTGAATAGGAACGTTAACGCGTTTGTGTTCAGCATGCACAGACAGAAAACCTTTGCCTTGGGTTCCTGTTTTCCTTGCTGAGGTAAAGATAGACGAAAAATAAGTCAACTGGTTTTAGTCTGAGGCGCTTATTTGTGGCATTTTTTCTCAGGCGATGAAGATTTTATCATGGTATGCTGATTTCGTTAGGGAGAGGCTTGAAAAAAATCGTATCTGGCATTCGATGCAAAATAATCCTTGAGTCGAAAAAAAATCGAATTTAAGATCGATTTTAAGAATTTCGAATCTCCTAAGGTGCACAATATAACAATATGATAAAACCACCATGTTTATCCGCTTCATCTGAAGTTAGCGGTTCAATGCGGGGCGCCCGCACACACACGGTTTACAGCAGGGTGTCCAACTCTGCTTCTGAACGACAACTTGAACACCTTTTCCCGGCTTTCCGTGTGCTGCCGCTTTTATAGCGCCCTTCCCAGAGACCCTGAAACCCTGCAGACACACCGGCCGTGCAGGACCAGGACTGGACACCCCTGACTTCTAAACACCCACCCGAAGCAATTAGCCTCGACCGTGGGGTGCTGAAACAATCCCACACGAACACGGGGAAAACACAGAAACTCCACACAAGGGCACCCCAGCCCCTAAGGGGGACCCCCCGAATCGCCTGGATTCCAGCGCTAGCCAACGTGCCACCTCGTCGGCCTATTTCACCAGATTTAACCGACGAAAAAGTCACATCAAAGCCAACGTCCACATAAGACAACCCTGAAATTGACCAATTTAGTGTTTGTGTTCGGATCCAAATTCCAAGATATCTCTCTATTTTGCCAACGTGCCGATTCATGACACGAAATGGAACAAGTGAGACGGTGGTCTTTACAGAAACACCTGACCTGACGGCCCCACTTTACCCTCGGTGATTCACGATGTGGATGAGTCATTTCACCTCACGATCACTTATTTTGTCCACTCTGCTCAAAGAAGCGTGCCGGCACGACCAATGTAGGAATATAAAGATATTTTCCCGCTTATGTCTGCTAGACACAAGACAATGTGCAAAATATCAGCTAAAATACATAAGAAAAATAAGCAGATTATTAAAAAAAAAATGAGTAGCGTCTCCAAAATGCAGACGTGCTTTTGTTGCGATGTTTTATTGCATTTACTGCCCAGGCTCATCTCCTTTTCTAAACAAAATATTTTAGGTCTCATACTGCTTAACAATTATTTTATGTTTTTTTTTTTTTTGGCGAAAGCTAATAAAAACATGATAAAAGTAATCGCCGCGTCTTTCCTACGGCTCGGTGTGATACTCCGTCCTAAGGAGGAGCTGCACAAGGCGTTTCTTGAACGGAAAGAATGTTTGTTGAAAATATCCCCAGAGCACCAACTTGGAGATCACAAGAGGCAACAGCGAAGCTTCAGAAAGCACAGCATAAGCGAATTATTCTCAAGGAAATTTGATCGCAGTTCTTACACATAGTACTCCGGGCTTCCTGGAACACAAATTAAATATGCAGCCATCTCTTCCCATAAACGGTATCTCATATAAAGACGGAACCAACTGAACTTTTTAGCCTAGTAAAATATTGCAGTGCAAGCGACAATTAAGGATGAAAGCAATTGTTCTCGCGCGAAGACAACCTTGACATTAAATATTTTTAAATGTGCCACTTAAAACTATTGTAATATCAATTTGCACGTGGGGATTTAGTCTTTTTCTAGTTTTATACTAATGAAAATGTGTTTTATTATTGGACATGAAATAAATTCAAGTGAGAAAAGAGTTTTGACAAGTGTCATGGTGATACCAGTTACGTTTATAGCCACAGTAGGTACTTTAGGATGTGGACATCCCTTGGGAGATCTCAATTTTCCTACATAGAAAGTGGGGAGACCAACAGGGATGTTAGCAGCAGACACTGAAATTTTGCACATGAATAAGCAGAGGATATGTTTGTATGGATCTCTTGTTTTTTATGAAAAGGAAGAGTTAAGAAAAAGTAGTGGGAGAAACCTTTTGGAAATGGAGGCGTGGTTTGAATTATATTTCTAAACTGTACAGGTAGAGTCCAAAACGAAAGTTTTGAATTTAGGCACAGTGGGTTATGAAGGACTAAGGCTTAGGAGAAGCTAGATATAATAGGACACAAAGAATCAATAGAGAAGAGATGGTAACAGGTTACAGAAATTCTGCTTGAAATATAGAGCCTATCCAAAGATTAAGAAAATAAAAGGTAAGAAAGCAGGGGCTTCAAATGTTTAAATGGAGAGATTAAGAAAAATATAAAGAGAAAGAAAACATTTAAATTGATTTTTAAAAAAAGGTGCAATTACAAAAAGGAATGCCAGGAATTGCAATATATCAAAAGCCAAGACAGAAACAAAATAATGAAGGCTAAAATTTATTACAAAAACTTTGTTTAATATTTCAACACCAAGCAAAAAGTTAAGGAAAAGAAAAACGGATACTCATGGGGAACTTGTTGACGATGAAAGGAAAATTAATCACGTATACCATTATATTTCACTGAGGTGTAGTATTAGTGTAGCAGCAGAAACACCTACAGGACCTGATGGTATTCCGCCAATTGTACATAAGGAAACAAAAGACATTATTCATAAGATGTTACGAAAACTCGTCTAAAGCTATCTCAAGACAATGTAACACCCAATGAGCAGAACATTCCTAACGTAGCACCCAGCCATAAAAAGGATCAATCGCATAATTACAGGCTAGAAGGTCTTACGTATATTACTCTTCATGAAAACGTAAGGAAACAATCATTACATTTAAAAAGGGGAGTCATCGGTATTACTGTAGCAGCGATATTTTACTTTAGGAGATGTGTGGATTTTTTTTCATTTAGATCTTGAGAAACCAGAAATCTTTAACACCAAAAATGAATACACTCAACATTCAAAATTGTATGTTTTGTTTGTCAGCAAGTAATGCTATAATTCCTCCCAAATGTACAATTGCTTAATTGGAGAACATAGACTGTCTGAGGTGTGCTTGTGTTTGGACTGAGAACTTGTTAATGGAGAGAAAATGTATGGGTGAATGCTCAGGTTGGGGTGATGTAATTAGTAGAATGCTACAGAGATCTTTACTGGGATCACTGCTCTGTATAATATATAAATAATCTAGGCTCCACGGTCGAAACGTTGTGTTCTCTTTCTTCTTTTTTTCAGCATGGAATAAACCTATTACTTGTTCCTAGACTCTGGTATACTTATGAGGGACTAGACAAGGAAGCAGATGATAGCAAAAGAGGAGGACTGGCAAACTCTGTACAGCTGACAAAGGACATAAAAAGGTCTACAACATAATTCAAGAATTGTGATTACCTGGCAGATGTCATTTAATGTTCTGTGGACAAATGTTGCGTACTGTTTTAATATAGTAATAACTATGAATGAGAGATGAGAAATACTGAAATGGAAGACACTGTGTATGCAAATGGATCGGGTGGTTACAGTTACAGATTTGGTCATGATTCAGATCATATGGACAAGGAATAAAACAAACCAACAGAATTTTAGCATGTACCGTATGCTTGAAAGTGCAAGCAACTATCACAGCAATCTCAGTCTTACCCAGAATGACCTGTGGCTGTCAGTCAGTTTGCTGCCTGTTGCTGCCAGTGTTGAGCTCATGGAACTGAATACGTACATGTGATCAACATGTTAAATATTTTTCTCCTTAGGTTTCGCTGACTTTTACTGTAAATCATCTTACCCTTAGAAGGCTTCAGTTTGTGCGTTCGTGCTTTGAATAAAGCACGACATCTAAAAACACGAGAATACATTGCATTGTCATTTCTCGAAATGGGACACCATAGAAAGGGTCAGAACACTTTTGATTATACTTGAAAACAGCTACGATATTCATCAGGAGAACTGCCAAAACAAAAACCAGAAAAAAACATGACGTGTAACTTTAATATGACGAGAAGCCTCTTAGAACTGCGGTGCCGAGAAAGTTGTGACCACCCAGGATCTGGGCGTCTGTCAGATTGTGGCACACAGCCATCGGAGCAGAAATAGCTCCCAGCAGGCACCACCAGACAGAGCCCGATGCCGTGAGAGTGATGGCTCAGCCAGATACTGCGGAGAGACTGGATTGAGAAAACCAGTTTTTTTTCTTTCCAATTTTTCACACTTTCAGTATCACACCTCTTTACAGCCTAATAAACATCTAAAACTCCTTGCCACGTTGTTATACCTTCTTCAGGACTCGCAGCCTCTTGCCACATCGAGGAACTCAAATGCCTTCCCTTTTTGCATGTGCAGTGGTTCATCTGTTTTCGACTTGCATTACTATTAAAAGAATTTCAAAAAGGACTTCCTCCTTTCACACGGCCTTGCCCATGTGCAGTTCTGTTTTGTGACTTTTGTCACAGATTTCTACTCAACAAACAAGAGGAAAACTGTAGACGGAGGAAACCGTCTGTAAATGTCACTGAAAACATTTTAAGAAATCATCCACATCCACAATACATCACATACCTTTTCACATCTGCTGTATGTCCTTATTGAGAGTAAATAATTCTACCTTCTCTGGAATTTGAGTAATTTTATTTCAAGTGCAAGATTGTTGGAATACAACAACAACATACAACAACAATGTGGCTGTATGGTGGCATACAGCCACATTGTCACAGATCTGTTTGCACTCTGTATTGCAAAATGTAATCTAACTGTACTTTCGTTGAA